GGAAGAAATAAGGCTGCCATCCCTAGAAATCTTCAGGAGAGGATTGCAGAGTACTTCCATGAAAGTTTCATCAAGATTTCTCAGGAGGATCTCTGTGTACCTAAACAAACTGCTCTGCATGGCTCTCTGGCCTAACTTTTCAGAGGAAGTGAAGCAGATAACAACGCTACCTCCCTTTGTTGTACTGCCACCTGGTCTAGTAGGAGTAACTTAATGAAAAGTCGAGGGCTGCGTCCTGCTGAGTTGGAGGAGCCATCACTGTAATGGGAAATAAATTTACACACATGCCCAAGGTTCCTTCCCCTGCCTCAGGCTCGCCTGTGCTCAACTGCTAGGACTGTCTGGACTGCAGTGGAGTCTGAAATGGTCCTGCCTTGTGGCATAGCTGGAATCCCTGGCTGCATGTCCCCCATCCTCCTCCTCCTCGCTGTTCATGGCAGGGGCCTGTGACTTGGGCTCCTCAAAGGTATCCAGAGTGGTGGTGGTTGTGAGGGCGTATCTCTACCAAGTCTGGCATGCAGCTCTTTGTAAAAGCAGCAGGTCTGTGGCTTAACACTGGATTGATTGTTGGCCTCACTAGTATGCCTGCCACAGTTCCTTTGCTTTCACTTGGCACTGCTGCTGATTCCAGTCCTACACCTTACCCTGCCGCCTCAATGCAGTCTTCTCATAGATGTCCACATTTCTATGGCTGGTCCATAGCTGTGTTTGCACAGCCTCCTCTCTCCACAGGCGCCGGAGAGCCAATATCTCCTGTCTTCTCCAAGTCGGAGTGCATCTAGCGTGTGTAACGGGCATGGTCAGCTGGGAAGTTGCACACGACAGGGAAGAGCTGCTGGGTGTGGTCACCAAGATGAACAATAAAGAAAAGGCATTTCAAAAAATTGTGTGGCTGTTAAGGGGCAGCGAAGTTCACAATTGTGACCCGAGCGGTCAGTGTGGGAAACTGTGGGACAGCTGCTGGAGGACTATTAGGGTCAACACAAGTAACTCAGTGTCTACATTTGTGTGGCATCGACCTCTGTACGTTAACCATGGCTTAATGCCAAATGGGGAGGTGGCATTACGATATGAGTGTAATGAGGAGTTTACAACGATGGGAGACAAATTTAAGTGTAGACATATGTACAGCTAGGTCAACGCAAGATGGCTTATGTTAACTTGACTTTGTAGTGTAGACCCGGCCTCGCATACACCATGCACACACTCTTACACCAACTCCCACCCAACAATCTCAGATCTTCATTCTAAATCCCTAACCTTGCTCTGGAGAATTGTTTTAATTACTGGGAAGCAATAAAATATTAATACAGGTATCTACACATTGTGCACCCAAGCCCCATTACATTGCCACTTTCCACAGTTACATTTGATGAGTTCATAGTGCTATAGCAAAACACTTAGGTAATTATGGAATTCATCTGGATGTTGGTGGTGTCCTGTCAAGGGGATCCCTTCAATCTCTTAGCAGATTGCTGCAGACTCCTATGAAAACAGGCAGCAGACTATCGAACAAACAGCACTTAGGAGTGATGGTAAAAGTATGGCCAGCAACATGACAGGTAAACACGGGACAGCTTATAACCTAGTCCACCTGGGTTCTTATACTACATGCATGTCATCGTGATATCTAAGAAAGGTGGGTGGATGGGCTGTGCTCCTCAGCCACTTTTGAAAATTCTGACACATACCATGAAGCAAACCATTATTTAGCTTGTGATTTTAGCACTGTATTTTGGATTTTTTTTAAAAGAAGTAAACGCTAATGGCTTGAGATAATGTGAAACCTCAAATGTTCTTGAAACTATCATGGTAACACAATAAAGGCTAAGGAGCCCACAAATGAATTGGTGTCATGTAAGTACTCTGCGGCAACCCATTTTCTTCACAGGATGAGAGAGAGGGGTCAGCTGTGTAGCCTAAGCCTCAGCATGTAACTAGAGACAGCAAAAGCGTGCTGGAGGAGAGGAGAGGGGAGGAATGGCAGGATGGAGAGCGGTGGTACAATGGCAATGCTAGGGACAAAGTAACAGCTTAGATCTCAAATCATCAGAGGGCAGAAGAGAAGGAGAGAGTCAAACAGGAGACAGATCAGAAACTAGTAACTCTGCTAGACAAAGGGTCAGAGTCATGGGTGGCACATGAACCACACATTTGGGGAGGCTAGCCCCCTATCCTGCCCCTTCTACTCAAGGCCCTGCCCCAACTTTCACCTTCTGGGGCCCGAGGAGCTCCGGGCCCAGTTGGCCAGCCCGAGCCACTCTGCATGCCAGCCTGAGCTTCCCCGAGCCCCGGCCCCCTGGAGGAGCTCTGAGCCCCGCCACAGCCTGGCCCTGGGGCTGTGTTGGGGAGTATTAGCACAGGTTTGGGGAGGCTTAGTCTCCCCCAGCTTCCATTACGCTCTGCCTACAGACAGAGTCACTGTGGAGCCTGAGAATTCAGCATCCACTCCCACAGTTCAGATTCTGCTGTTGAACACAAAGTTCAGAGAATGGGCAGAACCTAACCCAGCTGCTTCCTTCTAGTTGCACTTCCAGGCTCCCAGAGCATGAGCTCTTCCTAGTCATCCACTTCCAAACACAGAAGGCCTTCTCCACTAACGGGCTGTCTTTTGGGCCAGACACATAGGAACAAACTTCTCCTCCTCCCTGCAATCCAATGAGACATTCCCAGAGTAAGGGGCTTTCTTGACTACCTACCTCCCCACCCAGTTATCCAGGTTCCAGGTATGGGTTCCCTGAACACAGTTTCTTCTGGGCCAACCTTGGAAAATCAGGCGTCCAGTGAGTGTGCTCCCAGAACACAAGTTCTCTCTCCCAGGTATGAGGACATATGGACACCAACACAAAAATGTTGCCATTTCACTTCCATGAACTGTTGTAAAAACAGAGGTGTTCCCAGCTCTAGGAGCATGGCACTGTCTGTGCTACCTTTGCATACTGCAGTTAAAAAAAGATTTTCCTGGGCAGCTCAGCCCAGATCCACAAAGGTATTTAGGTTCCTAACTTTCCACTGATTTGTCCTAAGTCCAGCCAGGGGCAGCACAACCTAGACAAAACAGCCAGTATCTATCTGTGCCATTAGAGGAAAACTCCACAAGTATAAGGGAAAACAATCTTTTGTTCTGCTAGTGAAGTTTTGTGACTGGCTGCAGAACCCTGCCAATTGTATAGTCAATTGTTGAATGTCTCACTTTGTTAAACATGAACCTGGAAACATCCCCAGAGGGTGCATCTGCACCTCCAATGTGAGCTCTCAGAGCATGAGGCTGAATGGGGCAATAATGAGGAAATAAATTCCCAGTGACTGCTTAGGGAAGAGAATTCATTAACTTTCTTTTTCTCTGAGTGGTCCCTGCTGCCTCTTTCCTCCTCCAAAATCAGGCTAGTGGATAGGAAGCAGGCAAATACAAAACCAAACACCTGTCTGCCAGATGTGCAGTTGTGCACGTACACGTGCCCCGCCAAGCCATTTATAGAGTATACTGGAGTCTAGTCCAGCGGTTTTTCTTTGGAACTGATCATAGAGAATATCCATTGCACATTTAAGAATCATGATTCTTCTTCATATGGTCCTCTTTATTCTGCACCCATGTGGTGAGTGCAGGAGAGGGCTGGGCAGGGAAAATGGCAGTGGGAGAGATGACCTACATTCTGCTACACTAGTCATGCTACTTACTTACTTTAAACTCCAGACAGTTAACTCAATACCGAACACTTGAACTGTTCTCTCTGGAATATTAGGTCAATGGGGTTACCTAGGCAACTAGTAGTGTTCATGGGTACGATTTAGCGTTCAACCCAATTCTAATGAAAATCATTCCAGTGCATTAGAATAATAATCTGGGTAATGGAACAGTGAGAGGGTCCTAGTATAGAACTTGGCATGCGGTGAAGTGCAAGATTCTGTGCAAAATTGTTTTAATGAGAGGCTGTCTATAAAGGCTGTTTGAAAGAGCTTAGCCAAGTGTAGGCCTCTTTGCAGACACCTGACACACAGGGAGAATTTCTGCACTGGGCCGTGTTTGAGAAAAAAAGAGAGGATGGTGCAGAAAAAAAATGGAGGGGGGATGAAGAAACAGAAGTGCTTTCTTCATCTCGAAATACCTTCAGCTAGTGGATATGTTACATACACTATGTTTGGGGCTGAAGGAGTGACGTGTAAGAGCTCAGACCTCAGTACACAGCTAATAAAGTTAACGTAGTGTATGGGAGGTAGCATTGTCCAGTGGTTAGAGCCCAGGACTAGGAGTCAGGAGAGCTGCGTTCTGTTCCCAGATCTGTTACTGCTCTTGATTGTTATTACACCTTTGTGTCTCCATTTCTCCTTCTGTGAGATAGCGATAATAATTCTTACCTTCAGTTGGAAAGCACGCTGAGGTCTGTGAATCGGACATGCTATATAATACCTATGCATGCCAGCGCAGCTGCTAAAGGTGCTGGGGCTCCATCCTCCCTGTGCACTGAGACATGAGGAGGGGGTTCGAACTAGCAGGGCTGAGCTGTGCAAAGCTACCTGGGGACTACGCCCTACAGTTTGCTTTGTGTGGGGCTGGTCCCAAACCAACTCGTGAATGTATACTTCAAGGTTCAAATTTGGCAAACTTGGACCTCCAAAGGAACATCATACTGCCTTTCTTCTCAATGGCCTTTTTCTATCCTTCGAGCCACCTCTATGTTCTTTTAGTGCTCTTACTCACCACTGGGATCTATTTGCAACCTGAGCAACATGTAACCCTTGGAACTCCATAACAGCATTTTTACAGTTACTTTGCAGAGCAGAATTTCACTTTAACAATGCTGAATGCCCATCATTAGGCTGCAGAGTTGACCCCTATTGATAAGAATAGGGAGAGATCACACTTATCTTGCTGCAATTGTTTCTGATGTCTTGCACAGATAGGCAGACACTGCTGCATTGGGATGCATGTTGAAAATGTTTGTTGCCATTGCAAAGGCTAGGAATGTAATATTTTGAAAATGAATGCTTGACTTTTGCAGAAGATGATGAAGCCACCCCCAGTGCTGGTATGGTGCCTGCTCTGCAGCCCGCAGAGCTCAGCGAAAGGAATCCAGGCCCATGGGGAATAGGCTATCACTGGCTGCTCCAAGGTAGTGAGCACTTTACGTGTCACTGTAAAATTCAGTGTCAGCAGATGAATTACACCACAACCCAGTCATCACCGATTCCACTCAATCCAAATGAAGCTCTCATTGCATTGGATTATGGACACTCCTTGTCCACACACGTGGTGCAAGGGGACATATTAAACAGGATGTGGTATCTTTTGAAATACTGCCAGATGAATAACCCACCATTCTTGTTTCTTTACAGCATGCTTTATTTTTGGGCTTCTTGCTTTCCTTGCTTTACCACTGTCCATGACTTTTACAGGTAAGCTGGCTATCAAAGACGTTTCAAGAGAGGAGCTTAGTGGTACTATATAGTCATATAGCAATGCCACCTGTGAAAAGATTACTTTGAATCTGACAAGTGTACCTGACTTTAGTGATGTCACCAAATATGGTTGTCCACGTCATACACTACATCCTTGTCACTACATCTGTTTGTCCACATCATAAAACCACCACAGAGCTTGCTATGGTTGTTGATATCTGCTTCGGCGATTCCTTGAGCTGGCATGGGGTATGCCGGTCATTGTCAAAGCAGGTTGGCAGAGTTATGTGGGAAAAGCACACTGAATGGGACAGTCAGACTCATAATGATAAACTCCATCCCTTCCACTATTATTTTTCACCCTGTAAGCTTCTGGGGTGATATCCAGGCTTCAGATGCATGACTACAGCAGCCATTTATATGGGGAATCAGGAATTCTGGCCTTCTAATCCCAGTTCTGACAACGACTCCTTCTGTAGTTTTGGACAAACCATCTAACCTCTTTTCCTAAATTTCTCCATGTATGAAATGTGGCTCTTTTAATTTTCTTATCTACCTCACAGCAGTGTCAGAAAACTTAATTAATGGCAAAATACTTCTGACCTTACCCATTTGGCAATCCTGTTGACTCCAATGGGATTATTCATATGACTTAAGCAGGATTTGGCCCAGTTATTGGAACCTGAGTTGAAGATGAAAAGCACCAAATAAGTGCTAAAATAATACTAATACTGATAATAAATAGCAAGAAATAGGTACAAAGGCACTTTCACCCAGAACTTGTATCCTGAATAAAAGACATTGTGCAAGTCACTGAATTGCTTGTGAACAAAATAGAGAGCATTGTACGGTATATGTCCAATATATGAATTCACCTCCAAACAGCCAGAAGAGTAAACTGCTCTTTCTGATCCACTGCAGTTGAAAAAATATTCATTTCAAACACAATTCACATGCCTCTAAGTATAAAGAAGGCTGGGTATGGCTGGACTCAGGTCTTACTACAAACTAAACAAACAAAAAAGTGAATGTTGCTCTTTCCTACGGTGGTTTGGTTGCACTATAGGAATAATTTCACAATTAAAGTACTTTTATGAACACTGAGAAGTATGAGTGCTCCAATACCTTCTTTCAGACTCTTGCTTCTTGGTCTATTTTAAACAAGGAGACTATTGGTTGCAGGTCCATCCCCAGACTTAGAGAGTTCAATGAGGACCTGTTCTGATTTTTTTTCTTGAATGTACAATATGGATTTAGTCTCCCACAAGTAGGGACAGACCCTGTCAGCTGGAAACCAAATCTGAAAGATCCTCATTCTCTACCTTCATTGTCTCACCAGCCTGCCTTCTTTGGAGTCAGGATGGAAGAAGGGGAAAGTCTGTCATAACAAGAAACAAGCTTATTCTGGAGGGGCTTGTCAAGGCTCCATAGTTAAAGTTAAGTTGAGTTTTCACTTAAAGCAGGGACTCAAGTAGGAAGAATGGCCTAGTGGATAGCACACTAGACTGAGATATAAGAAACCTGGATTCAGTTCCTGGTTCTACCACAACATCCTGTGTGACTATGAACAAGTTTCTTAGTCTACCCTGCAGCTCAGTTCCCCATTTGTAAAATAGAGATAGTGCTTCCCTACCTCACAGGAGAGTGATGAGGATAAAACCCTGTAGTGAATGTGAGGGGCTCAGATACTACAGGAGTGAGGGTCTATGAAGCCAGGGCAATAGCTATGTTATGCATGAACAAGGCATCATTTCCTTCCCAAAATTACAGTACTCACTCTCAGAGTACTGAATGCAGCTATAGAAATGCACAATTCAGGCACCTTAATTCAATCTTTTAGTGATACCACAAGGGAAAGAAAAAGTGTCTTCAAAAGTCAATTTAATCTAATCTGGGAACATATACTAAACGCACTGATCGTAGCTGTATGGCTATTGCAGGGGAGGGCAAACTACAGCCCGCGGGATGGATCCGGCCCATGAGTGCTTTCAATCCAGCCTGCAGGATTGCCAGCCCTGCGGTGCAGCAGGGATAAGGTAGGCTCCTTGCCTGTCCTGGCCCCACACCACTCTCAGAAGCGGCCGGCACCATGTCCCTGCAGCCCCGGGGAGCGCGGAGAGGCAGAGGGCTCCGTGCACTGTCTTCACCTGCAGGCACTGCCCCCCGCAGCTCCCATTGGCCAGGAACGGGGAACCACAGCCAATGGGAGCTTTGGGGGTGGTACCCACAGGTGAGGGCAGCGCAAGACGGCGCCCCCTGTCCCGTCCACCCCCAGGAGCAACTGCCATGCATCAGTACAGGGCAGGGTTTGCATTGTTTGGATGCCTCAGTTGTGCATTTCTGTTCTTAAGCTGTCTGGATTTCTTTGAGTTTCATCATAACTCTGGGTTTCCTGGGTTTGTACTAATTATTTTGGGGGTAATTACCACATTCCTGTAATGTTGTTTTACCTTTAAGTTACTGATCTATGCTCTCAGGTTTAGTTATCCCTGCACACCCGTATTTGTCTATGAGTTTATTTAGACTTGATTGCTGCTTCAGCTACCAGAGGTTCCAGCACCAAGGCTCTGTCATGGAGTCTTGATGCCATCAGTAGCTAACAGAATCAATTGGAGGCAAGGGCATGGTTAGAGCAGTGAGGATCTTCTTCTGGTTAAGATGATGGTGCCATTAAACGTTATTGCCTTTCACTCTGGGTGTGTCTGCACTGGAGGTGTGATTTTCAGCTCGGGTAGACTTGCCCACTGTAGCTCTGCTAGTACGCTAAAAACAGAAATGTAGCCATGGTTGTGAGAGGGGCTAAGCCTCCCCCCCGAGTATGTGCATAGAGTCTCAGATGGGATTGTGCTTGGGCAACTGGCCCGTCCCACTTCTTGCGCCACCATGGCTACACTTCTAGTTTTAGCATGGTAGCTCGATTAGAGCTAGCCCGGATCTGTGTACCCAAGCTGGAAATTACACTGCCAGCTCCAGTGTAGCCATAACCTATGAACCAGATCCAGCCAAGGGTCTATGCTGCCCCTGGCCTCAGCTCTATGCCCACTGGGTATCAGCACAGCCCAAAATTGGGCTGTGCTACTGCAGAGACTATATGTCCCAGACAATCAGGAGATGCATTGATTCAGCATATCTTAAAAACTTATCCTGAGCTCCTATATAGACCTGGCCATCACCTAAAACTGTTGCCTACCCCCAAGGGAGAGTGGTGGTGGGGTAAATGTGACAGGGCTGCAGGGACCCAGGCTAGCGCAGGGAGGTGTCATTTACACCATGGCATAATTTACACATTGGCAGCCTGCCTTCAAAAATGGAGTGGGGGCTAGAATCTGACCTTTTGTTTTTAATACCCCCTTCTAGTAATAGATTTTAATGTATGAAACTTCAAAGTGAAAATGTGGCATTTATTCTGTGCGATTAGCCTAGAGCTGGGGGTAACTTCCCACATCAGACACAGATTCCTTTTTTCATGACTTGCTGAAATTAAGAGAGACTGTCAGTGTTGTCACAGCGTTGTCACAGGATAATGGTTCCCGACAGCTACAGATCTGCAAAGGCATTTTAAGGCAAATTAAATGTCAAGGCAAAATGCAGACATTTATTATCCAAGCAAGGGACTCAAATTCTCTGATAACATTCTGTTCCAATGATCTCTCACAATGACTTGATTTCTATTGATCCAACTATTGATGTACATCCAATCATTTTGGCCCTAGTCAAAGAGAGAATTTCTAGATATTTATCTAATATTAACAGATCTGTAGCTATGCAAATAATAGTGCAGATCAATATTCATGAAGAACAGCCAATAATTCCTACCTATACAAATTTGAGATCTTTTCAACCACTTGGTTATTTATCTACTTTCAAATTTTAACAAGTAGGAATGAAAAATTCCAAAAAGCAAAGCTAGAGATGGAATGACCCTTTTGATCAGAGTCCATCTCCCTGACCATGCAGGATTGTTCCTGACAGCACATTTCCCGCGCTTTGTCCAGACTCCAGTGGAGCCCTGGGAGTGCTTCCAAGGTCTGAGAGTCTTGATTCACAGGCTGCTGAGGAGCTGGACAGACGATCTGGCAGGAAACAGCATAGGGTCCATCCGAAGTTTGTTGAAATTGAATTTTTCTGACCAGCTCTATATTTAATAATACACTTAAAAAAAGATGAACAGAGCCACAAAAACATGCACCTGGCTCAAATGAGTAACCCCATAATCTTGATATTGTGACCTTTGTTCTATTTCTTCCCTTCCCTGCCTTTTTGTTTGTTCATTATCCTCATTTGTGTTGTGTCTGTTGCAAAGCCCATTTAATTCTGTCCCACGGACCTTCATGTTAATTGGACCAGAAGCTTATGTGTAAGCACCACACTGCACTTACTGCATCTTTATTTTTTTCTGTAAAGCATATACTGGCATTTTGGCCACTTAAGGTAATAAACTATATTATATTTTTGGTACTCAGGAATGAAGTTTTTGGAAGACTGCCCACTTCAACCACTAATTCCCTTATATCTGTTGGTGGGTGGTGTTGTCGGCAGTTTAAAGGTACTGTGCATTGTATATGAAAAATGTTTTACGTGCCAAGACTTTGACATTACAAAGTATGTTTCAAGTGAGCTGTGTTCAGACAGGATACTTAAGAATTTACATTAAATTCTTATGGTTAATTGACAGCTAATGTCAAGGCAACTGCATGTTATCACAGGATAATAATTCCTTTCTGTACCACAGAATAGGCACATTAATCTCCAAAGCAAGAGGCATTGCTCCTGTAGAAATGTTCTGCTACAATGATTTGATTTCCGTTTTATCAAATGATAGCTCTAGAATGAATAAATGAATGTTAGCACAGGAAAGTAATAACTTCTCACTATACAGTACCATGACTGCCCTGCTGGTGCATTCAGGAGAACAAAGTGATTGTGTATCTCAGCCAATCAGAGAACATCTGAGCCATAAGAGGACAATGGCTTCTGGTTGGCCGAATTTTATTTCTTTTATCAATGAGGACAGGTGAACCAGGTAACAATCTCAGTGGCTGGCACAGATGTAAGTGAGTAATGTAACATCACATGCTGCATGTAAATGATGCTAAAACTTTGTAAGGCTGGAAATCCTGTACTAGTGGTCTGAGCTCCCTAGACATAGAGGCGAAGATTCTGCTCTGAAGCCTCTCCAGGAATTAACTGAAACACTTAAATAATAGCTAGATTAAAACAGGTAGCTTTATTTAGTCAACAGGACGTAACAATCAGAGTCAGCATCTGTTCTGAAATGTATCTGCCCCTGCTTTGGAGGCTGACCGGAGAGGAACTCAGCTGTCAATGAGCCTTATTCACCTTGCCCTGCACTGTATGTAGTTATTCCCACCAATGCAAAGTGGGCATAAAATACTACCAAATCAGAACGGTTGCATTTCACACACTCCATGCACTCACTTTGCACTGGTGGAAATAACTACACCAGGTGCAGGGCAATAATGAATCAGGCTCTATCTCTTCTAACAATCCCCCAACTCCTCAGACCCTGCTCCTTCTCTTGAGGAGACACAAACTGAACAAAAACTGTTTCTCTGGTCTGAGCTATTCTACAAGTCTCCTTGTGCCAGTGTGTGGTTGTCTGACAGGGTTGTCCCGGTTGCTGGATGACATCCCAGGTAATGATGGAGACTGTAATGCTGTAACACAATCTATAACCATGTAGGACCCTCTACACTGCAAACAAAAACCCATGGCAGACGCCCCAACTATGTCACAAAGTTGCTTGCTGGCACAGGTATGGTTGTCGTGTAAAGAGAGACTATGGTATGGTATTCCCAATTAACTATTCCATTTAGTCTCCCTCACTTTTCCAGGGAGAATCTGATTGAGGTAGGAGTCCCCTGCTGTGAGAAACTAATGTTCCAGGCAAAGGAAGCCTCTCTCCTGAAGTCAAGGCTGCCAGGCTCTTACCTGAGAACAGTAGCATTGCATGCTGCTACACTCCTCTTATGTATGTCTCTTGCCCCTTTTTTGTGCCAGGATCAATGAAGAGGGAACAGACAGAGAACCCCCTTGCTAAGAGGTCTCTACACACCCTACACTTGCCCAACATAGATTCAGTATGTGGTCCCACTAATGAGAAATGAATAGTCCGCATCAAGGGGCTGTGGTCAGTATCTTCACCAAAATAAGTGAATGGGGAAAAGAAAGTACTTAAGCTTGTTAGAAATCATTTGCTGTGCATGAATTCCACCAGTTAAATGCTCCGTCATTTGATTGCTCAGCTGGACTTTCCTGCAGCGATAGCATAATCAGAAGGTTAGATTAATAACAGCTAAGTTTTCCTTTGGGAAAATTAAATCGGAATGGGGAGTTTTTCACTGTAATGAACTGAGACCCTCATCAACAATGCTGACTTCCACAATTTGATATGATTGCTTGACACTCTCCTAATATTGTTGACCAGAGATTAATAAATATTTTAATTAGTAATAAAATTGTGTTATCCATTAGTGATTAGCCTGTCATCAATTCTCATTAAAAATGACCCTATACATGGGTCCAATGCTGCTCGTACTGAAGTCAGTCAGGGCTCTGCCTTTGGCTTCATTGGAAGCAGGATTGGGCCTATATTTTGTAATGTGGTGACCTACTTGATTTTAATAATTTGATTAGAATAGTTCATGTTTTAACATAGTCCCTCAATAGCACCTTGTATATCAGCTTAAATCCAGTTGGTTCAATTCCATCCTCAGTTATACTCATGCGTAAGAACATAAGAATGTCCATACTGGGTGAGACCAATGGTCCATCTAGCCCAGTATCCTCTCTTCCAACAGTGGCCAGTGACAGATGCTTCAGATCAAATGAACAGGGCAATAATGAGTGATCTATCCCTTGTCATCTAGTCCCAGCTTCTGGCAGTCAGAGGTTTAGAGACAGCCAGGGCATAGGGTTGCATCTCTGACCATCTTGGCTAATAGCCATAGATGGACCTTGCCAAGCTGTCCTGCAGTGGCTCAAGAGCATAAGTACCAACCTCAGGGTAGACTGTTAAGAACCAGGGCACAAACCTCAAATTGGTGGTGAATTCTCTACTTGGGGCTGGTCTACACTACATTGTTAGGTCGACATAAGGCAGCTCATGTTGACCTAAGTATATCAGTGTCTACACTACAGCCTTCCTCCCACCAATGTAAGTGCCCTCCTACACCGACATATTAACCCCACCTCAGTGAGAGGCATAAGGCTTATGTCGGTGTAGTTAGGGTGATGCAGTGTCTGTTTTGTAGGCTGGAGCACCCACAGAAAAAAATTAACAGGTGCTCAGCACCCACTGGCACCAGCTTCCTCCAGCGCCTCCCATCCGCCGGCGGCCCTGCTGATCAACTCCTCCCCCTCCCACCCAGCATCTCCCACCCACCATGATCAGCTGTTTTGTGGCGTGCAGGAGGCTCTGGGAGGAAGTGGGAGGAGCAGGGAGCTCAGGGAAGGGGAGGCGGAATTGGGCAGGGCAGGGGTAGGAAGAGGTGGGGCGGGGACCCCTGCTGATCAACTCCTCCCCCTCCCACCCAGCATCTCCCACCCACCATGATCAGCTGTTTTGCGGTGTGCAGGAGGCTCTGGGAGAAAGGGGGAGGAGCAGGGAGCTCAGGGAAGGAGGCGGAATTGGGCAGGGCAGGTGTAGGAAGAGGGGCCGGGGCGGGGACTTGGGGGAAAGGGTGGGGAGGGGGTGAGGGTGGGGCCTGGGGTCGAGTGGAGTGGAGTGGAGTGGGAGCTTGGGGGAAGGGAGCAGATGGGGACAGGGCCTGGGGCAAAGTGGGGGGTTGACTACCCCTGGGCCTGGACGAAGCTGGCACCTATGTGCCACATTATTGTTTTAATTTTGCTGGATGCTTTTATAGGGGCCAGTCCTGACCATTTTGAGTAGTTCTTCAGAGGTGCTGGGTGCTCCCTGCTTTTGCTGAAGTCCATAAGAGGTGAGGGCTCAGCACCTCACAGAGTTGACCCCTTAAAGCCAGTGGCTCTGTTTATTCACTTTCTTTGTCTCTACAACATACAGGTGACTCTTCTGCTTTATGACTCCACCAGGATGAGGCAATTGCTTTCCAAATCTGTCGTGATTGATGATGACGATGATGATGAATATCCATGGCGGCAGAATGCTCACAAATACTACATCCATCTTACGCTCAGCCTCTTCCTCTTTATCTGGTTCATACTTGGGAACTATTGGGTGTTTTCTGTCTACCTGCCAAATTTCATTCCACCTTTCCACCAGCCCCAGGATTATTGTGATAAAACCCTGTACATTTTTGCTGTTGGAGTTCTTATCATTAGCCATACTGTGCTGTTTTTGCTTATCTTTTGTAGCTTCTGTATATATTGTTTTTCTAGGCAAAGATATGCTGCAGAAGATGATTAAAAGCCATAGAAACTAAACCACAGCTGTTAGGTAAAGGGTGTCCAATGAAAACCAAAAGGCAATAATTTACCAGTGTGTATGTGTATAATAGCAGCCAACTATACTGAGGAAATTGTGCAAGCCAGGGCCATCTGGCTCTCTTAATATAATACATCATAGTAATGTAAAATTTCTGCTATAGATGGCAAGCTGCTCTCCTGCTAACTTTTACATCCATTTTTTTAGGGGTTTCATTTGAAGTGTCGAAATCAGCTGAGAATTGCATACAGAAAACTCCTCTCAAACCTTATTCTTAGACCCTTAGGGATTCTGTTTTAGCGTAATACATTTTCCTCTCAGTTTCTATAGGTAGCATGTGGTCTACCGCCATGGTATCTGAGCACCTCAAATCCATTAGCCTTTTGAGGATGTATCATTGTCTCTATTTTACAGATGGGGAACTGAGGCGCAGAGAGATTCAGTGATGTAGCCAAGGTCACACAGGAAGCCAGGAACTGAACCCAGATCTCTTGACTATCAGTCTAGTGCCTCAACCACAAGTTCATCCTTCCCTTCTGAGCAAAAAAAGGGGAAGCAAAGTCTATGTGGGGCAACTTTACTTTCTCTATTTGTACAATATAATTTAACAGCACCAAGGTAGCACAAAGAGTACTTTAAAGTCCCCCTGATGAAGTGCATAGGGAAATTGACTATTTTAGTATTTTTGGTGTGTGACAATTTCAGAATGATGTGGGGCATGATATCAGTATTACAGATGAATGTGTTTACTTTGGCAGTGGATTGGTTGTGGTTTCAGGGGGTCCTTTTGATTTGTTTCCCTTAATGATGTACATGTGTAAATCTATACTTAGTGGATGGATGTGATGACAGCAGAAGTATCCACTTTAGAAGCACCAGCATGCATGGAGGCAATTGTCCTGTGGGGTGTAATGAAACTAACTTATTATTGGTCCTGGTAGATGCTGTTTTTCCGTTGATTAATGCATGTGAAGTGCTCTTGCTGCTTTTGCTCTTACACAGTTACCTGTTAGTCGCTAAGGTGCCACAAGGACTCCTCATTGTTTTTGCTGATGCAGACTAACATGGCTACCACTCTGAAGCAGTTACCTTAGATCATAGAATCATAGAATATAAGGGTTGGAAGGGACCCCAGAAGGTCATCTAGTCCAACCCCCTGCTCAAAGCAGGACCAATTCCCAGTTAAATCATCCCAGCCAGGGCTTTGTCAAGCCTGACCTTAAAAACCTCTAAGGAAGGAGATTCTACCACCTCCCTAGGTAACGCATTCCAGTGTTTCACTACCCTCTTAGTGAAAAAGTTTTTCCTAATATCCAATCTAAACCTCCCCCACTGTAACTTGAGACCATTACTCCTCGTTCTGTCATCTCCTACCATTGAGAACAGTCTAGAGCCATCCTCTTTGGAACCCCCTTTCAGGTAGTTGAAAACAGCTATCAAATCCCCCCCTCATTCTTCTCTTCTGCAGGCTAAACAATCCCAGCTCCCTCAGCCTCTCCTCATAACTCATATGTTCCAGACCCCTAATCATTTTTGTTGCCCTTCGCTGGACTCTCTCCAATTTATCCACATCCTTCTTGAAGTGTGGGGCCCAAAACTGGACACAGTACTCCAGATGAGGCCTCACCAATGTCGAATAGATGATCAAAGCAGAGTACTCCCTCTGCCTAGATTTCACACCTGTGCTCAAACATGCAGGCATTCAACAGCACCAAGATAACAAAATGTGGACATGCATTTTGGATGTTCTTTTTATTAAATACCATGCAACCAACAACCTCCCCTTGTACCACATAGAAATAATGCAAAATTAGGTGTTTGTAAATGAACCTCTGTTTGTGGTTCAAACTTTGAAATACCCCCTAGCTTATTCTGATCCATTTAGCCATTCATTTGTGGGTCCAAGGCTGAACTTTGCTTCAAGTTTTAGTCAAGAGTTCTCCCTTCAGCCATGAACACACAACTCCTAATAAAGTCAGTGGCAGTTGATTATGTGTCTTGGGGCACAACTGGGTCGTTATTGATTATAACTCAATCCATGGCACAAAGAAGTGCATGTTAGAAAATGATCACACGTCATTCCACAGAGTTTGATTTTAAATAGGAAGTGGGACAAGCGGCGCAATAGTCTACTAAGTGGCCGGGTAGTGAGTTGTTATTGAGGCTGCTCTCGCCCGGCTGCTGTGATTTATTCCAACAAGTCAGAGCTAAAGTTAGGATCAAGTGTAAAATTCTCCAGTCCATTATAGCCACTCGAAAGCAGCTCTAGTTTGACTGACTATGCTCAGGAGTGCAGGGAATAGGGACACGTAACACTGCTGGCAGCACTGGAATCCCTTCCCCTGTTCCATGCACTTAAGAGAGAACCAGCAGAGGAGCATGAGCCACACTTTTCCAAAAGTGTATCAAGACTTCCTTCTCACCACACTCTCCACAGTCTTTCTGGGGGCATTTTACACTGCCTAGGCATCATTCTTGCCACGGATGGAATACCAGAATTGCCCCCACCCAGCCACCCAAGTGCTCCACTGACTCATAGTTTTGGCCCTTGGATTCCAGTGCAGACAGATCTGTTCCATAAAACTCAGTTCATCCCATCTGAATAATTTCATCTTACATGTATAGCACTTTTCATTCATCAAGATCCCAAAGTGCTTTACAAATTTTACCGAAGCAGGAATCCCTTCACTCACTACTGAAGTGCAATCACCTCTGAGTCACACACAGCAGCTGTTTAACAGTGCACAACAACATTACACAAAATCTTATGACACGAAGTGAAGAAAAAAATCATATTCAATTGTCACTGCATTGGGAATTTAAAAAGGCAGAAGATAGTTACCCAATCTACATTCATAAGACAGAAGACTCCAGCGCTAACAGTTCCCAGCCTTGCAAAGTTTCCTAGGATCTTTAATGGCCACAAGTTATTAAGTCTCATTCAAAAGACAGTAGGACTGGTTCTCAACTGTCTTTCACTTTGGGCCTGATTCTTTAGCAGCTGGAACCTTTTGTGGTCATTTTACACCTTTGCAAAGTGAATGTAAAATGCTCCAAAATCAGACAGGTAGTGTTTTATGCTCAGCACAGGTGTTGCAGAGCAAGTGTGAATACTATCATCATTATGAGATGAGAATTCTGATTTGATAGTGGTTTGCACAGTCTTATCCAGAAATAAATGACTGCCCGCGGTGCAAGGTTTGCACATGAATGCCTCCAAAGCCGGGCTAGGGCACTGGTCCACTACTGAGTCAGATTTAAACATGCACAATCACCAACAGCCCTTCCTTCAGCATGCTGGGTTGTCCCAAGTGGTCTCCCGACCAAGTATTAGCAAGGCCTAACCCTGCTTAGTTTATAACAGCTGTCAAGTTTGCAACCCAAAGCTGAATCACTGAAGATACAAAATACACCTTTTGTTCACATTTTGAATATTTTATAATTTAAGAGATAAAATTACAGTAGTTTGAAAATCAGCCATGTCCCTCTTTATCTGTAATTTCTTCTTGAAATGAAACAAAAAACGATTAGGCTAATTCTTTGGAACCAGCCAGCATTATGATTGCAGTAGAGGAAATCAGTTGCAATTGTGCTTCTTAAATCATCTTCTCTTCTTGAGAAATAAATGTAGCTTTTAAAGGAAAAATATCCATGATTTCCATGGGCTAGAGATATCCTGTACGATATTAGTATTCATAGTACTGTGTGTTATGGAAATACACACAAACACACACATACACACACATTGTGGTGATATCCATGTGGTAAATTACATTTATCATATACTTTTGATCACCTCACCTTCACTCTGCCCACTAATCCACCTTCACTGGCATTACGCCTAACGTTCCAGAGCCCTGTGCAGCAGCTCCCAACAGCAGTATAACAATCTGCCAGATAAATGTTTCCTTATTTTCCCACAAATGTGGAATCCCATCCTCCTTGCACCCCCACTGCCCCCATGAAGAGATGAACAGTGGACATAATTCAGTCCTGTAGCAGATTTGAGGTCTGGCATTATGTTACCCCTTCCAGGTTTGAAACAGGAACTTTATACCATGGAAAAGGGATGATAGTAGATTTCCAGTGCAACACACAGCACTTGATCCAAGCCTTAAAGGTCTTAAGACATCAGACTTAAAAACCACATTATTAGTACATTTAGAAAAACTATTTTAGGTTATTTCCAGAGCTGTCTAAAATGTATTAATTATCATTTTCCTCTCCCTCTGACGTGTGAACAGTTGGATTCATGTTCCAAATACCTTGGCTTTACAGGCAAAGAGATACAAAATAGAACCAATACAATTTTCAAAAACATTTCTAAAATAGATTTTCCATAAAATATTTTTAGTCCTACGGGTGCTGATGCAACTACCCCAAGCATGCTGAGGTAGCCCTTGTGCCACAACACACCATCATATAGGCTCTGAATAGCACATCGTAATGGGGTGGGCTGCCCCTATACTGCATCTGAGAGCAAGCCTCCAAGTCCACAGACTCACACTAGTGCAGCTCGCACTAGCGTGCTAAAAATGGCTGTGCAGACCTTGCTCAGGCCCTGGCGCTTGGGCTCTCGAGCCCACCCCCAGTCTTGAGAACCCGAGCTCTGTCATAAGCCACAACGTTTACACACTATTTGTAGTGCGCAAGCATCAATCTGTGGACCAGGTCTGGGAGGCTTGCTTCCAGATGCAGTGTAGACATACTCTTGGGATTAGGGGCCAGCCAGCATTTTTCTGAGGCAGAGCCTGGTTAAGAACAGGTTGGAGTCTAGCAGATTACAAGAGGTCAGGGGATTGCCTGGTAAGCACTTGATTCCTATAAAGACTGAAAGAGCTAAGCTGGAGAGCTGAGCTGCAGCAAGAACCAGACGTTGGTGTCTGTGGCAGGTGGGCCCCCAGGCAGATGGCCTGTGAGAGGACTAGGGAAGAGTTGCTAAGTGCAGCGAGACTCTCCCAAGGAAGCCCCGGGGTCAGGGGAAAAGACCTGGTTTAGCTGTTGGATTTATGCTGAACTGTTTAACTGGGGGTTTTGCTGAAGGTTGTTGGTGCCATGAATACATGAAGCCCTGAGAAAAAGGGCCCGAAAGACTCTGGGGTGGCACTGGTTCTTTCCTGGATTGGGGAGCCAGGCCAGCAGCCTACAAGCATGGATTATGTCAATAATGTGCCAATATTAATACAAATTCTGTTCTCATGGCTTAAGACTCGTAATGGTCCTATAAAGTGGCAGTTAGCCATCTATTTCCTTTTGTGGGGTTAGCCTCAGCCCCATGCAAGACTGAGCCCTAAATGAGTCCACAAGGTTCAAGACAGTAGAGAATCAAGACCTCTGTTCTCCTTACTGAAGTAATGGAAGCAATGTACCGCGGACCCAATCTTTTATATTAGTGCTGCCTGTTTTTGCATACTGCATTGATACCTTATGATTTGCATGGATTTCAAATTAATATTTGGTAAATTGTAGTAATTTCAGAATTATAACACACCACACAAAAGAGCTGCTTTATTTCTTGTTGGGGTTTTGTTTTTTCTCAAATGTTGATGAAATAAAACTTTTTATAAACGTTTTGGTCTCACTCATAGTCTTGCGCTGATTAAATTAAAGTAGTTATCCGAGGCCCAGCATCGTAGCATGTGGATTGCTCATGAACAGACACTGCAATGCATTTCTTTAGTTATTTTCACATGGGTGACAGCAGCCATATAAACTAAGGGCTGCATGTTGCCCTACTGATGTCAAGGGTAGTCATATGTGTATGTAGGGTAGCATATGGGTCTAAATGGTAAAGATCAAGCCACAATATTCCACTCCACCGAGTTTTGACAGCTTCAGAAATAATAATGAACTATAGCAGAATTCTGAGTAAGCCAGTCATTATGCCTGGTATAGGATCTGATCCAAAGCCCAGTCAAGTCAATGGAAAGACTTTCATTGAGTTCATTTGACTTTGGATGAGAACCATAATGTGGAAAACTAACAGCAGTGCCTATATATATAAAACCTAGCAGAATGATCATATTGCTTGGGTCATGATGTTCTCTTTCTGTCCTCATGTCAAGTGTGTGTATTTGGGAGGGGGAGGGGATGTGTCCCCCTCCCAGCTCCATTACTGACCTGCCCACTCCTCCTTCAGCCCAACAGTACTGCTCCCTGTCCCCCCATACACTCCCAGATCCACATAGCACTCTTCATGGGAATCAGAGGGCATTGCTGCAGAAACAGCTGGCCCCCTTTTCTGCATGGGAGCAGTAGGATCTATACACCGAGGGTTCCCTCTGAAGGCAGATCGTGGAAATTGATTGGCCCCTCTGTAATATATGATAATTTTTTATGGAAAAAGAAAGGTAGGGTGGGGAGGAACGCAGATAACTAAAGGAAATATCAGTACAGCGAAATTCTAATTAGGGGAAAGTACTAACTACCGATATGACAATATAATATGTGTTCGAGGTGATGT